CTTAATCGAGACAATAGCAAGTGGTGTTTAGACAATTTATAGTGGACATTGAATCAGATGCACAGGCAGTCCTCACTGCCAGGTGGGTGGGCTGATGGTACAGTAATTCAAATTTTCATTCTGGCTTAAACAATGCATTTTCTGTCTCCAGAGAGACAGACTTCTGAATTGAATTACGTCTGAATCTGGCTAATTCTTTGCATAGAAATATACGATGAGTGTTCCAAGGGGATCAAAGTCTACCACCACCATCCCAGATCCCTGAAGCCTCCTCTTACTTGCACTTGGAGGGTCTTATCTACCAGTTGTCTTCTGAGTTACTCTGCCAAAGGTTGGATACTCGTAAACTTTCCTGCCCCATGTCTTCCTTGATGTTGCCAAGACCACAATTCTCCCCAGCCCAGACTACTCTACTTTTCTGTGGCTCGCACAGTGTCGCTCTTTAATTCTGACCTGAGCTTCTTGTTTAAAGATCTTAAAGATAGTTGCTTATGTCTTAGCTAAGATACTGCAATAAAATATCATAGACTAAGTAGCTTAAACCACAGACACACACTTAGGTTTTGCAGTGCAGGGGCTGCAAAATCCAAAATGAACCGATAAGTTCTTGGGGGAGATCTTTGTATGACTTTTCCTTGAGAGATGTGAAGAGACATCTACCCATCCAATGTAGGGCACGGTAAGGGAGAGATCTATGTACCTGCAGCGCTGACCACACCCGTTTGGGTGTGGTCACAGGTATGTAGAATTTTAGGGGGGAGGGTAAAAGAGTTAGGGGAGGAGACTCTCTCTCTCTCTCTCTTTGGGTTCCAGGTGCATCCTGGAGAGCAGCGTGCTGACCTTTGGCTCTCAGCTTTCTTGGCTTCTCACATAAATGATTTCTCCCTCAATAAAATATCATAGGACTTCCCTTTTTTGTGTAGCTTATTATTTCCACATTAGGGCACTAACAACAGAATTAAGAAACGGTTTTGACCAAATCTAGCACGGTGAGCCAGTGCATTTATTGAGGTTACTTTGGGAGCCTCAGTGACGCAGAGGGCTGCCCAGCATGGATGGGGACTCTCGGAAGCAGTTATCGCCGGGTGTCCCACAACAACATCTGGACCACTCCAACGAGTGGTCTTCTCCTCTACATGACTATTTACTGCACATCTTACCCTGGGGGAAAAGCCTTGTGGATGCAGTAAGTTACCTTAACTTGCAACCTTCCTCTAGTAAAGAAAGGCTTCCGCACAGGAAGTACGCTGCTTGCCAGGGTTCTTTCCCTGGCTTGCCAACAGGCTCTTTTCTTATCATTGTCTCCTTTATGTATGCCAAAGAGGAAGGGAAAAGGATGGCGGGGAGGGACGGAATGAGGGAAAGCAGAAACACTCTTCCTTTAAGAACACCAATAATTTAATTATTCTCAGATCTCGTCTGCCCCAATGGCCTCTCAAAGGCACCACCTCTAAGCACGCCCTGTTGGGGTTAGAACAAGAAACATTTGCACATTGAACAAAGGTTTCTGTATGTTGTGTGTACAATGTGCTAGGCGGTGGCCGAGTGCTGTTCACACACATGGGCTCATTCAGTTACCTCATCAGAGTCTGAGAGGTAATTGTTAGGATTATTCATCACATAGAGGACATAGGACGCTTGAGCAACTTGTGACAGTCATATGAGTACCAGGTGTCAGAGCTGTGCTATAATTCACCTTAGAGCAGATGCAGCCAACGCTCTTGACAGTAGTTCTAAATAATGTTAATCAACACCTTCCTCGGTGTTTTGTAAGGGTAAATTTAAATGGTTGAAGACAAAGCTTCTTCCTCCTTTGCTTCCCTTCATGATAACCCAGTGCTTAGGATGGGTGTTTGCTCTGGGAGCCTCTGTTCATGGACGTGATCTGTGGTCACGGCCGCTGCTGTCAGCCAACTCCTCAGAGGCTGTCCTTGGAGTTTGTGTCGGTTGATTTGACTTGATGATGCTCTGAAGTGGTCACTTCTGCTGTCCCTTTAACTCCTGGCATGAAGTGGTCAATATACGAACCGAGGTAAAATCCAAGAGTACCGCTCCAAGATCCCTGGCCTGCTAGAAACATTCACTGCTAGGGATGCACCACTCTCTCCACCATCTAAGCCGAACCATCTGACCCTTCTTCCCAGACTACCGCAGTCCCCTGACCAAAGAAACAGGATGCGTGCAGAATATGGGCTGAATGTGAGCTCTCCAGCCAACCCCCATCCTCGCAGTGGTGTGGCAGTTTCACCCTTGATTTTAATCCGGGGACATGTCCACCTCCGCAAATTAAGAGCTTGCGTTACTTGTTCTGGTGGATTGTAAACATTTTCTAATAGCTGAAATGTCATCATGCAGCCTTCTTTTGGGCAGGTTTCGTTATTCAGCGCTGTGAGTAGCGTTACCGTGTATGACTACAACCAGAAGAACACACCGATGCATTGAAAAATAAACTAAATCGTTGCATACAAACAAGCGAGGCGTTTGCTGCAACTCACTACCTAGCATGTTGCCTCAAATTACTAGAGATGGCTGCCCTTGGGACGCCGCAGTATTGGCTTTTGGTTTCCTAACAAACAAAGTACCCCATCATAGAAGAAGACTTGGTTTTGGGGGTGCCAGGTTGCTGCAATCAGGTAACATGTTGAACAAATGAGTGTATTTTATCAGTGCAGATTTCATTGCACTTCATATTTCTAACACAGGTGGGTACCTATGGAAGCTTTAGCCATTTTTTGTTTTTGTGTGACTTGAATTTTTAATATTTCTATAAAATATGAATCTTAAATATGTGCATGTCTTTCCTTAAGACACCAGATGTAGCATAAATGTTTTAACTTAGGTGTATGTTTGTAGTGGGCCCTGGATAGAACCCGCTTCTTTTTTTTTTTTTTTTTTCGAGACAGGGTTTCTCTGTATTGTTTTGGAGGCTATCAGTCCAGCCCAGCCTCGAACTCACAGAGATCTGTCTGCCTCTGCCTCCCGAGTGCTGGGATTAAAGGCGTGCGCCACAGAACCGCTTCTTACTGAGATGAGTATAATTCTGCTTGAGGGCTTAAGTCTAAACCCTGGTCATGCAATGTGGGCAATGCCCAGTTAAACATGAGAACTAAGAATTGTTTTGGCGAGTTAAAAAAAAATTCCATCTCTTTAGTTTTCATTTGGTGCAGTAGATGGTGCTTGGTGGCAGGTAGGCTTAGAGGCTCCTGGGAACCCAAACCTCAAATTTTGTGTTTTGTTTTATGGTGTGCAGTTTAAGTTTCTGTGTTTGCTTCCCCGCTTTTTCCTCCCCCCCATCATTTCTTTCCCTTCCCTTTCTCTGTCCCATCCTCCCTTTGGGGATCTAATTCAGGGCCCTGTATATCCAAGTGTTAAAGGCAATTACTCTGTTTCAGAGGCACATCTCCATGTCCATCTTTCTTAAGCAATGTTTTTATTACTTCATCTCCTCCCACCATCAAATCCCCCAACTGTGATAACCTAATAATTATTAGATTATCATGGGTGTGTTGAAGTTACCTTTCATGGACATCCTGTTCCATCAGATAATTTTTTCCAAGTAAAGACTTTCTGCTCCCCACCCCCAAGGAGCTCAAGATTTGACATTGCTGAGGTTCGTTTTTTACCATTTAAGAAAATCTTCTATGAACAGCATCTGTTTGGTAATGCAAGAATGCAACTAGAGGTGTCAGGTACTCTGTTTGTACCTGATAACAATGAAAAGGAGTATTCAGAAGAATATTGGAAAACTTGCAGGAATCAGGGCATGATGTAGTCCCTTGTCATTCTTAGAGCAAAAAGAAAAAAAATGGACAGCTATAGCATCTTGGGGAGACCAATCGGGGCATCCTGCAGAGATCGGTTGCTGAAATGACCAAAGCCAATTTAGGCTATCATCCACTTGAAGTTCAGGTTCCTCTGAAAAAGACCATTTGCTGTAAGCTTCAATCAGGTGCCTGTTTCTTAACGGGATGATTGACAGGCCACCAAAGAGGCACAAAGTCGGTGGGGAGTGTTTTTAGAGAAAAAGGACAACCCTACCGAATCAGGGGAAATGCGTAAGTAAACAGATGTCTGCTTGCAGGGGAAACTGATCTTAAGTCACACTAGGTATAAAGAAGAGCTTGGAAGTACACCATAAGTGGTTTGAATATTACCTAAATTTAATTACCAAGTTATTCCTCTAGATGGGAAAAAAATCTCAGCACCCTAAATACACCAACAATTGTGAAAATTCATTTCTTGATTACATAGACCATTTTTTCAACTTTCCAAACACACAGAACTGTACCACAAATTCATGTCGAATCATCATCCAACCTTAACAGCTGGCCTTGTGACAATCCTCTTTCTTTCGGTTGCATTTTAGAGCTGCTTCAATTAAAAACTTATAAGATTTCCTGTTTGAAAACTTCATTTAGAAATATAAATTTTGGTGTCAGTCCATCATTAGTCTTAAACAGTTAGACAACAAAGGATAGCTTTGTGCAACAGGAATACATTATTTGTCTGGAAATAGAATTTATTTATTAATTTTTTAAAAGAGCTAGGGTTTCAGCTTAATGGTAGAGTGTTCCTTTAACACACACAAGGCCTTTGCACAGAAAATGGTAACGACAACCATAATCCTTATCCAAGTCCAGTGTGATGGCTCGTATGTTGTGATCCCAGCACACAGGAGACTAAGGTAAGAGAGCTGCTGTGAGTTTAAAGCCACCATGAAGCTACACAGGGAGTTTCAGGCCAAGCTAGACTACAGTGTGTGACTCTTGTCTCCCCCCCATAAAAAAAAACAAAAAAATGTTTCTTTTATTATAAGTTTTTTTTCCTGGCTTATGCTTGATGAATAGGTTCCTTAACAAGTCTGTTTCCAGGGTTACCTCTGCCAAACACATCAGATCCTTGGGGCCCTGGAATGCACCAGATGTTCTTTTGACCGTAGCATCGCCCTGCCAGGGTACATGTGTGTTGCACGTGTCTCAGTGCATTCTGATCTCTTGCAGTTGAAAGATGCATGAGCGTAATGCAATCTGGGACACAGATGATCAAGCTGAAGCGAGGCAGCAAAGGGCTCGTTCGCCTCTTTTACCTGGATGAGCACCGGACCCGCCTCCGATGGCGACCCTCTCGGAAGAGTGAGAAGGCAAAAAGTAAAACCACCCTTTTGATTTCTTTGCTTTGATGGGCACAGCCGCACGTGGATAATAGCGTGGGAAGCGAGGGGTAGGCTCTGTGGGTGCTTCAGATCTGTGGAACTGCCCCACTTTTACAAGTTTGGGGTCAGTTGGTCATAAAACGATAAGCGACGGTTGTCTTTGGGGGAATGGAAGTCCTCGAAGGCCTTCTTGCCCGTAAATGTTGCAAACCCTAATATTTCCCCCATGTGGGAGATAGGCCATGTTTTATTTTCAACTGGAATATGAGGTTTCCCTGCTTGAAACTTTTCCTATAAAAGGTACTGTAAACACAATGGTCTTTAAAGTCTATTGCATCCTCCAAGCAATCAACTAATCCATTAATTAACAACAGTGTTTAAGTGGTTAAGGTTTATTTCTCCCATCTGTACTATCTGTGTTACCAGGATCATTGTAGAGAAGCATCACTAACAGATGGACGTCTATGTGGGTAGACATAGTTAGCTGAGATTTGTAAGTGGGAATGACTCTCGTGTTTATGGAGGTTAACTAGTGTCATTATGTATGTGCCCACTGCTGGATGGAGAACCACAGAAATCAGCGATAATGGCTCAGCCCAAGTCTCAGGGACTGCAGCCTGGGGAGTGGGTAGTGTGACTCTCAGTTCTAGGGTGAAGGCCTGAGCTCCATGGGTACTGTAGATTCAGGTCCCGTAGTCCAAGAGCCTGAGTCCATGAAATTTTCATGTCATTGGACAAGAGATTAATGTCCCAGCTCCAGGAGGGAGAAAATTCATTTTTATCTCCTGCTTTTGTTTCATGTGGGCTGTTTTGCTGATTGTATGTGGCCCACTCCTATTGGGAGATCATGATTCTTCTTTATTCAGGCCATTTATTCAAATACGATTTCTTTCATGCTAACTCTCCTAGACATACTCAGCAATGATGTTGTCTCTGGTATCTGGGCATCACGTTATCAAGTGTGTTGGTACAGTACCTTCTGGATTTAGCACCAAGTTCATGTTGGATTTCGCTATAATAGCTCTCATCAGCTCAATCCTTTCTGTTTCATGTAAACACCATTGGTTGAAAATCTCTTTGCCCTTAACAAGACCAAGCATGGAACGTCCTTTTTCTTAGTCTGTTCCTTTTGCCGTCCTTGGCTCTGTCCCTGGTGCTGACATTGCAGTCAAGGCAATAGTAACATGACTTCACTCCTAGCCACACAATAAAAATGAAGAAATAGGTAAGAACTCCCTCTTTCTCCTCATCTGCCTCTTCTTCCCCCTCCTCCCAGTGGCTTAGATCTGCCAGGACTTTTCCGTGGTGTTGAACATCAGCTGACTTTCCTGTGAGTCATGTAGGGAATGACTTGATACCAAAGTACAATCAGGACCCAGACCATGAAGCAGAATGAGTAGTAGGGTAGATGACAGTCAGTAGGATGTGGAACATTCCAGATTCTTTCTCCAAAAAGACATGCAGCATGGGTCAAAAAATAGTGCCTCTCTGGTGGAGCTCTTAAGTGTCTTTCTGTTGAGCTTTCTGAAAAATGTGATTTCCCCGCCTGCTCATCTCTGAGGCCCGGCCTTTGTCTGCCTCTCCGGCCTTCATCTCCAACCATTTTGTCCTCTGAGCATTTCAGGACAGCATCCTTGCAGTGAGCCCCGGTTTCTGTCTGTCACCCATCCTCCTTTTCACTTTTCCAAGCCACGTCGTCCCTGCATTTCCCCTGTGAGTCGCATTAAACTATGGTACTTCCTTTCTATGGTTATCTTAGATATTTCACGAAACAGCATTCGATTCTGTCCGTGCACATTTCCCGACACAAATATGTAAAGTTAATTTGAAACAGTCATTAGCCACTTTTCACACTAGTATTCTAGTCTTGATAGATACCTCCGTTTCTTTCCTGTAAATTGCAACACACTGCGAGTAATTGCCTTGGGAAGACATTGTCAAGAATCCCCCAAAGGGTAAATCCTTTGAGGCCAGTTTTGAGCATTTGGTCTTAAAAAGCACTACTTATTGACAATGATTTTTTTCTCTTCTTTAAAATGCTTTGCATGGTTTTGCATTTCTCGTTTCTCAATCACTACAGATAAGTAAAATCACCCCTTGATATTTTTTGGCTATGAGGTCTGAAGATAAATGTCTTCACCCGCCGTGTAACCGTGTGTCTCACTTCCCTTACAGTACTTATTGACTCCATCTACAAAGTCACCGAGGGCAGGCAGTCCGAAATATTCCACAGACAGGCTGAGGGGAACTTTGATCCCAGTTGCTGCTTCACCATCTACCATGGTAACCACATGGAGTCCCTGGACCTCGTCACCTCCAACCCAGAGGAGGCACGCACCTGGATCACAGGTCTCAAGTACCTGATGGCTGGCATCAGTGATGAGGACTCCCTTGCCAAGAGGCAGAGGACCCACGACCAATATCCTTCCCAGAACTTAATGCTTGACTTGTATGCTTGTGTGTGCTTCCGTGTGCACGTGTGTGTGTGTTAATGTATGTTCACAAAGTGAGGATTAAAGTGCACGTTGCTCCTTTCCATAGCTGTGAGGTCTGAAGCACCTGTCCTTGCTGTTTGCTTTTCTGTCTCATGAACTGCCCTCTGTCCTTTTTTGTTCTTATTCCCAGGGCATGAATAAGTAAAACCAGACAGACATACACATGTGTGAACTCAGAAGCAGCCTTCTGGAGAAATTGGATGTAGCTCCATTAATCGGAGAGGTTCCCTATTAGTTATGATTGCGCTTTTATATAATGAGACATTCATGAGCCGTAATTGGGGGGGGAGCACTAATTTGGATTATAGGACATCCTGGCATGTCATGAATTCAGTTTAATTTAACAAATGCTTTCTGGGTTCTAATTAATGTAATGCACACCAAGCGCCTCTCAGATTTTTTTTTCTCCTTTTGAACTTACAGCATGGGCAGGTTCTCCCTACCACACTTACCCGCTCGCTCTAAAGAGCTTGAGAAATGAGAGTCTCCATCAGGTCCCTTTTCCTTTTTATGCATTTAAAAACTACATTTTACACATCTACCGTTTGCAATTTTCATACGCGGATATGTGTTTCAATTAAATCTATCCTCCTTTGCATGTCCCCTTTCTCCCCTCCCAAGCTTCATGTACTCACCTTTAAAAACCCACTTGAGCCCGTCTGATGATGCTACTAAGTGCTCAGGTGTAGGGCTATTCACTGGTACAACGGGCAGCTTCTCAGGGGCCACATCTGAAGAAACCCAACTCTGTCTCTCCCCAAGCCACCGGGCGCCGATGAGTTCTCCAGTGTGGTGGGAACTTTGTGAGTCCTCCGTCATCTGTGCCTGCATCTTGTCTGGCTTGATCTTGCGTAGGACTTGTGATTCAGTCACAGCCGCTGTGAATTCATGTGTGTAATGGCCCTGTCTCAAAGTAGCCATCTGCCTCTTACAAATCTTTCCACCCCCTCTTCTGAAATGAGAGTGGAAGCTCAAGGGAAGAGGATATGACACGGACGCCCCATTTAAAACTGAGTGCGCCCCATTCTCCACATTTGACCAGTTGTCAGACTCCGCATTGATAGCCATCTACCGCAAAAAAAGAAGCTTCTCTGATGGGGCTTGAGAGGGGGCACTCATCTACAAAGACAAGTATCTAGAAGGACGTGTGATACCACGTCTACTTAGCAGACTGATGGTACTAGGTCCTTCCCTAGGGAAGCCCCAGGTTCTTGGCCCAGTTAACAGTACCAAAAGATGAGTTTTGCCATGTAGAATGGGCCTGAAAATCCCAACAGAAAGCAGTTGGTTAACGTCTAAACATTCGCGTCATTGTAGCCTCAACGAAACATCCATGTATTGTACTCTCAGTGGATGTATTTTGCCACCATTCCTTCTCTTGATGAGACCAATTTCTGTTGGTTCCCTCCCTGATGATGAGATAAATAATTAATGCATTTAGTCTAAAGACACCCTTCCTGCTGGGGTAGGGTTGTTCATGTCCTGTGGCCTTTCTGACTTCAACTCCTCTGCCTGTAAAGTGAGGGGTTTTTTTGGCTGCCCTAGGCTCCCTTCTTCATGCCTTTGATGGTGTTAAAGCATATGTGGTCAAATGTCTTTGCAAGGGAGAATGCTACATTCTCCTGTTCGTCTCCTTCCTGCCACCCACCGCTGCCACCGTTACCATCGTCACCACCGTATGCAGGAGCGTGGAGGAACTTATGCTTATTAGCTGTGTAGACCTACGCGTGGGGGTACCGTTGGAGCAGAATGGAACCAGTAGCCCAGGAGATGGTTTCAGCAGCGTGAAGCCCGAGCTGATGAGCCACAAGGTCCTCATCTCTGTTCACAAGCAAGCAGATGAGTGCAAGTGGGACTCTGGAAAACGCTAACGCGTGGAGCTAGCTGTCCTTGCCCTGGTCTGTGGGCTTGGCGTTTGGCAAAACAGAGTAAATAAGAAAAGCCCAAGTAAGCGACGATGTTGGACAGCGGCAGCACTTTGTGCTACGGGCGTCAAAGGCCACGTTGGTGGGCTTTTGATGAAGACAGGCTTTCTCGAAAGCGAGAGCTCGAAGACGGGCATTTCCAGGGGTGGGGTTAGTTGTGGCTCAGTGGCGTCCTCTGAGGCCCAGATCTGCTTCCCCAACATGTGGGCTCGGCTCCCTCAGCTGGCTGCCTATCTCTTGGCAGCGTCAAACACAGCCCTGTCCAGGGGAACAGCATTTCATCTTACAAGTGAGACAGAGAAGGAAAAAAAAAAAAAGAAATCCTTTCTGGAAGTCTCTCCAGGAGTAACCTCCCATCGTCGATGAGAGTTCCCATTTCAGGCCCATCCCTGCTTGAAGACTGCCATGATACTTGGCCAACATGGGGTATATAGCGATATTTGTCCTATTAGAAGCTGACTCTGAGCTCTGGAAAGCAGTCAGTTTGTTTAAAACCATAGCGATTTTCACTACATTTAACGTGCTATAGAATGACTATGGTTTTTTTTTTTTTTTTTTTTTTTTACCAAAACAGACCTGAAGGATCCTGTTTCCTCATTACTTTACATTTCTACAATGTCAGATGCAAGAAAGCACATGAGTTCCCACGTTTACTTTGTGCTCAGCCTATATTGATCTGGGGGCTTAAAGTATATATGAAAGAAAATCCAGCCTCGCGCCGGCAGGCTGTGAAATTTCGAGGCTGTGCCATCAGAGACTCTGAGGATGGCCACATTAAGTTCAAGATCCACCTCTTTCCCCTCAGTGGCCGGCCACCATTAGAGCACGCTTCTTGGATCCATTGATATAGTCCAGGTTCTGTACGAAACAAGGGAAAACCGTGGTCACAGGGGAAACAATCAGTTCTGGGAAGCTGTGGTCTACAACCGGCCAATTAGGACCTCCTCGAATATCCCAGAGTCTTTAGCCCTTAGGCCAGAGAGTCACAATTCTTGACATTCTGGTAAGAGGTGGGCACAGATGGCAGAGTCACCTTCTTGACTTATCGGTCGGTAGGGTTTTCTGTTTCCTTTAAACTTAATGCTTTTACGTTTGCTGTCCCTTGAAGATAGTTGTAGTTGAGTTGGTTCATGTGGGAGCTAAGAGGTCTCATATTCTGGGCACAGGTGATCCGGGAGGGAGGAGCACCTAAGAACCATGCAGGGGAGCAGTCTTACAAGACACTTAGAGATAGTTGGTGCTTGTGCCAATAAGGGAAGGGAAAGGGAAGAAGGAATGAATAGATAGTAAGAAAAATAGTGGAAAGTGGGTAGAGGCGGGGAACCATTCTCCAGAATGGACAAGGTTTTGAATAACGCATTGGGATTAAATTTCTTTTACATTCATTTTCCTGGGTATATGGCTGTGCGCATGGCTATGCATGTTCATACTAAGGTGGAGAGTACGGAGGTCAAAGGGCAGCCCATGGAAGCTCGTTCTTTCCCACACGTGGGCTGCAGGGATTGGACAGAGGTCATCCAAGGTTGCCGACAAGAACTTTTACCCACTGAATAGCCTCTCTGGCTGCAAACTGGCAATCTTGGTTGGACATAACATTTAATTAATGAGGGAGTCAGCATATGTAGGATGCTTACGACTAGACTTTCACTTAGGACTTCAACTTTTCATGGATAAATAGCAAGCCTAATGAATCCTAAGTGGCGGAAGGAGAAGTATTCATCCACCTAGGGCGTGAGTTGAGTTATTTTGGCCTTAGGGTGGGCCAGGTTGTGTTGAGGTTTGGGTAGCTTCTCCCTTTTTGTCTCACAGTCTGTGCCTGTAGGTTATCAGCGGAGGGCGAAGGAACGGACGTAAGCGCTGCCCCGCACACAGTAAGCACTCTGTTCTGCCCCGCACACAGTAAGCACTCTGTTAACAGGCTGCTTGCTGCTGCAGTGGTGAATCTGGCAAACCTCTTCCCGTCCTCCTTTGGGTGTCTGAACGCTCAAGCCTCAGTGCCCTCTACCCCGTGAAAAGATGATGGCAGCGGTCCATAGCCTCAGTGTTTACCGCACCAATCCATTCTCTGTCTTCTCCACTCACCTGTCCTGGCACTATGCAGGAAGTTGTCACTCGCAGGCGCCCCGTTACGTGTGCTGTGAGTTAGAACTTCACTCTTCCAGGCTTCAGGGGAAATGCAGCTCACTGCCTGGGTCTGTCTAGGATTCACGAGCTAAGAATGAGTGTTAACTTAAATGGTTTACAAAAAGTCAAAGGGGTGATAACATTTTTGTTTAGAATTTGGAACATCCTTGTGCACAAGCTACTACTGTAGGCGCACGGCTGTGTGTACTCCTGCGGCTGTTCCCCCGGCTGCTGTCCCAATGTGTGGAGAGGATGTAGACTGGAAGGTTGATTGCCAGGTGCTTTATAGAAACTTGGCCCACTCTCATCCTGGTGTGAAATAGTACCACGCAATTTCACGTTCTCCTGTGGTTTTGTCATAGACAACACCAACCGTAGCATTTATTTCCCTTTTCCCTCCGAGTTTTGCCTCTGCGGAATGACTTACTCTTCTTTTAGTTTTGGTTGTGAGCCTAGCCCTTAACAGCTGAGCCACCTCTCCAGCCCAGCTTGCTCTTCCTGCTGTTGCCATTGTGTGTGGTAAAGAGTCGTCAGTCCAGAGGTTTTCTGGGTACTCACGCCTTGCTTATAAAGCGTAGCTTGAAGATACCAGGAACCTTCAGCTGCTGTTCCATGTATACAGTTGCTGGAAATAATGGTTTTTCTTCCTTTCATAGAATGTGGAAGTTGTAAGTGAGCTCAGGGTTATCTAGTTGGACTTCCTGACACTGGAGAGGAGGAAACAGACACCGAGAGGTGACGGGAATGAGCCGCTATGACAGGGATCTGCCGCCTGTCGCATCAGGGCCGGTGTTTATTTCTCGTTCTGATTCCATTCTGCTCGTTCTTCGTGTCAGTCCCCTGTCCTCTAAGGCAGGTGTCCTGGCCGGCTTATGGACAGGTGTGAAGCCTTGTAGACCCAGCCCAACGAGGTCGTATCTGCAGGCCGCACTTGTGCCGAAGGATCGCTGTCCCTTGTCTCTTCCCACGCCTTTTAGAGGGTTTGATGGAAAACTGTAGGACAAAAAATGTCAGGGTCCTCTGTCCATCATCCGGAAAAGGCGGCCTCACGTACTCATAAGAGAAGACGTGACTCAACCCTCATAGAGAGTACGTGACTCTGGACCACCCTGCTGCTGCCTCTGCTAAAATTCCCGAAACAGGCCTGCAGCTCAATTAACAGTTAAAGATTAGCTCAACAGAAAGCCCCCGATTCTGCCAGGAGTTAGGCAAGGACATAGGAGAGATTGAACTAGATTAAGTAAGAACCTACGGTCAGGTTACCTAGCAACAAAGGAGGTTCTACCCCCCCCCCCCTTTGCCCTGCAAATTATGTTTCCAGGCACCACTGACCTTTGCTCTGCCAGGTTCATCGCAGCTACAGCAAACCCCCATTCCTTCCCCTCCTCCCCTCCCCTATATAATACTGTCAGTAGATTCATTTACTCACTTGTTTGTTCTGTGGCTGAGTATGTTGTGGGCACAGCAGTGTACAATCTAAAAACCTAAAAGGACAGAGCTCCATGGGGAGAGGTTCTGTGTGTACAGGAAACAAACAAACAAAATCTTACTAGTAATTGATCATCCTTTTACTTCTTTGCTTAGTTTCCTTCTAGGTCCTTTTAACCTCTAGGTAGACTATACACTGAGCTCCTGACCGAACTTTGCAAGAAAAAAAATTGAAAAGAGCTGGGTTTTTGTGTTACTTTTGTTATAAAATAAGTCTGGGAGGAAAGAAGACTTTACCTTCTGAGTTGTTTTTTTTTAGGTTTCCAGTGATTAACATATGTAAATTGTGTAAGCTAATGGGATTTGTTGTGTCCATCATTCATTCATTCATTCATTCATTCACACACATGTACTTTTTACTTTCTAAGGTATTTTTATCTTGACTCACATAGGGAATCTAAGTATGTTTGGTATCCCTGGGACACTGGTTGATGTTCTGAGTTAGGGAAGGAATACTTTGGTAATGTTACCTGCTTGGTAAGGCGGTATTCTTCATTGGCCTTCTGCAGTTTATTCGCCTCTATGCTCCCACTTCTTTTGTTTTTTTGTTAATTTAAATTTAATTTATATTTATTTTATGTGTATGGGTGTCTGCTTTTCTTTCTCTGCATGTATGCCTGTGCCTGTTGCCTGTAGAGGCTAGAAGAGGGCATTGGATCCCCTGGAGCTGGAGTTACGGTGGTTGTGAGCCTCTTTGTGGGATTTGAGCCTGGGTTGTGTAGCTCTTAACGGCTGAACCTTCTCTCTAGCCCATCCATTTCTTGGCTTTTAAACCTATGCCTTTCTCTGAGTTTGATTCTCTGGTTTCATTCATTCTTCTTCTTCTTTTAAAATCACTTTCGTTCCTTTCCTCTTCGATTCCCTTTAAACTTGGAAGCTCAATAGTCTCTGCACACACACCTTCCTTAAAAAATGTGTTATATCATTTAATTTGTTCCCTTATCTGGGGATCTTTTCAGTCTCAATATACATGATATGAACCCTTCGTATCTAAACTCAGCTTTGCGTCCTCCCCGCCGAGTCCCACGTTTGAGCTTACTTTGATTAGAAGTTTGTATTTGTTCGGGGTCACTGTCATATCTAGTGATAAAGGAGGCGTGCAGACTGGGAAGGGGACTTACGTGCAGGAAGCATAGATGCCAGATCAAGTTGCCAAGATCCATGGAATTGAGATGAGACTACATTCCCTTCTGACCAGAGACTTGCTCCTTTCCCCAGCAATAATAAGGCTCAACTAACTGGTCTAATTCTTAAAACAGGAAAGTAAGGGACAGAAAAGAGAGCCGACCCCTTGACTAGGAGAACGATGACGGCGAAAGCATGCTAAGTGAGAGGGCATAGGAGAAGATAAATCTAGATTTTTTGTTATATTTGAAATTTCATCAGAATGATATCTTGGAACAGGGATACGACATTGCCACCAGGCTCTTCCTGCTGCTGTGCGCTGTCTCTGTGTCCCGCAAAGGTGGACTCTTGGTGCATGAACAGAATTTGTGTTAGCATGGCTGCATTACTGAGAAGATGAAGCCAGGGTAATATATGAAGTCGTGTGGAAACACCTGTGTTGTGATGTCGTCCATGGAGGCTAGGGTGCTGTCCTCTATGGGGGAAGCGGGACCGCTGTTGTAACCATCCTCCTCACTGGTGGGATACGGTGCTTTTCAAAAATAGGTCTCGCATTGAATTTAGATTAGGTAGGGCAAGAGTGTTTGGATTACACCTTTCTAACGCGACTCTGGTTTTGCAGTAGAGGGTGGTGCCCCTGTGTATGCCACCCCCTTCTCTTTTGTTATCATCGTTCGTCCAGAGATCACCAGAGCCTGTGCATTGCAGGGTCTCTTCGAAAGCGTCCCTTCCGTTTCCATGTTCCTGGTAGTGTCCCTGTGACATTCAGTGGGGGAGAGAGAGAGCAGTTCTTATTTTGAAGAAAACTTTTCTTTGACCTTTCTGCACATGGGTGAAGCAGACCTTTGAGGAGGCTGACAAGAATGGCGATGGCTTATTGAATATTGAAGAGATTCATCAGCTGATGCACAAACTAAATGTCAATCTGCCCCGAAGAAAAGTCAGGCAAATGTTTCAGGTATGTGTTTGCCTTTTGTAAAACACAGTAATTACTGATGCGATTCGGCTCATTGAAATCTTTTACTATGTTGGAAATTGCTCTGCACTGTTTTCTTTTTTCCTTTGATAAAGAGAGGCGTTAGGTCTCTGATGGGAAGTCCTGTGTATATGTCAATAAAGCACTGTTGGCCAATAGGGAAGCAAGATAGGTGGGACTAGGAGTCCAGGAGGACTCTGGGTAGGAGAAACACAGGGAGTCAGCATGTAGCTCCCCAGAGAAGTAAGATGTCCGTCCGGTAAGAGAAATACTTAGGTGGGTTAAATATTTAAGTCAAAGATAGCCAGTAACAAACAAGCAAACAGCCAACAGCTTCATAATTAATACAGGGTCCTGTGTGTTCATTTGGGGACTGCAACGTGGCAGAGCCCAGGCGACTGGTGGGGAAAAACCAAAGCGGCTGGCAAGGAAAAGGCTTCTCTCAACAGGTCTCATCAAAGGAAAAGTTCTTCATAAACTTAAGAAGCATTCAGTTTCGTCCCCTCAGATACTTCCTTGCTGTTGCTGTTTCTGAAGAGCAATCATAAGCACTTTTCCTGACACTTGAACAGGGCGTGAAGTTCATCAAACCCTTTTGAGAGGAAGAGAACACTTCGCCTGCCGGCCAAAGGGTTTGGGGGACTGTTGTGAGAGTCAGAATAAAGTGACAGGAGAAAAATCAGCGCTGTCAGGGGCCCGGTGAGTTTAAGATTGAGAACCCATGAGGCTTGGAAATGCTATGGTGTCGGAGTGCAACCCTGTCTTGGCGTGTGTGAGACAGGATGCTTTTTTCCCCCCGTCTTAATCCCTGAGAGAGGTCCTGGGCTGCAATTTATTCTGCAGCATCCAGCTGGGTTGTACTTGGACTTGGGTAGCATTGGGCAAAGACCAGATTGCACTGCTGCTAGTCACGAGCAAGAGTTAAGTGAAAAAAAAATAGTACTTATTTGCAGATAAACCATATGCATGATCCGTGTTTTGTGAAGACTTTTCGTTCCTTGTGACTAGGCCTATATGTTAGGCGCATAATAAGCGTAGAAAGGTGAAATGTTTTATGTTTTGCTTTCTGTCCACTTGCTGGTCCTAGCAGGGCATGGAGATACACAGCAGGGGACACGTGTCCCAATAGCCAGTGGGAGACAGAGACTGGCTCCCTCCTCTGACTCCTTAAGGCGGTCCTGCTCAGGGGACACACGGGTTTAGGGAGGGTTTGTCCTGGGGGTATTTTCCCACTGCACTGGAGGACAACATGAGCAGAAAGGGAAAGAGGAAGGCGTGGAATACAGGAAAACTAGACAGTGTTTCTGTCCTGTGCCTTAGGGGCTCAGCGTGAATTCATATCAATCAGCGTTTATTTGTTTCATAGTTACTATCTGAAGTTAGAGCATGTGACAGGCTTCGTTATGGCTTTTTCATACATGTTCTGCTTCATTCTCTTCCCCTTCGTGCCTTCTACACACCTGTGCCCCTACGTAGTTTCTTCTCTGTGCCCGTATCATTCTGTGTATGGCGATACAGGGCTCATCTTATGTGGCCAGGCTGGCTCAGAATGTACAGAGCTCTGTCTGCCTGCCTCAGCCTCTTGTTCTGGGATAGTAAAGCCACCGTGTGTGTGGTGACACACGTTTAAAAGAAAATTCAGAGTCCCGTTTTTAGTCTCTTGGTCTTGGGTTTTAAAAGGCATTAAACCAGAGAGTGGCCAGGCACGTGTGCCTGCTGTGTGTGAAATATGTCCATCTGGTTTCCCGAGTCTGGCAGGGGTCTGCAAAGAAAGGCTTTTATAGTGGGAATGAAAGGCTCAGGAGGTTCCATACAGGTTAAGTACCCTCATATGAATATCCTTGAATCCAGAAGTATTTTGGATTTAAGACTTTATTTTGGGGGTTTTGGAATATTTTAGGACATGTAAGTGGGAACCTTATACACACAGAGAGAGAGAGAGAGAGAGAGAGAGAGAGAGAGAGAGAGAGAGAGAGAGAGGAGAGGAGAGGGAGAGGGAGAGGGAGAGGGAGAGGGAGAGGGAGAGGGAGGGAGAGAGAGAACAGGGTCTTACTATGTAGTTCTGGGAGACCTGGAACTCACCACGTAGATCAGACTGACCTTGAATTCCCATAGAGTTGCCTGCCTCTGCCTCCCGAACGCTGGGTTGGAGGTGTACATCATCATGCCTGGCAGGATTAAACATGCTAATTTGAAATTGTAACAGTAAAGTGCAATTTCTTAGATGCAAAGAGTCTTCCCTAGTCCCCACATTATCGGAGGCCAGTTCATACCCACATTTGAAACGGCACGATGGGCGCTATCAGCTTCACATAGAAGCTATAGGAGGCTTAACTCTGTTTTCGTGAGCCCTTAAGTAACCTAAAGCTAGCACTAAGCAACACTGAAAAATCTGGAGTACTTCACACTAATTTGCATGCTGTTGTCTTTGCTCAGGGGCCGTGCTAATCTTCTGTGGTGCTCAGTTTTTTAGCACATGTGCCACTGGTGCAAACATGAGCAGTAAGCAAAATTGTCTTGAGCGTTTCAATTTTCAAGGCTACATTTAAGTCTGCTTAACAGCAGAGTGTTCTTTCCGAAAACCAAGGCTTCAAAACGCCACTGGTTTGGTTGCGATTGCGTTCGCTGAAAATGAAGGTGATCTGGTAAATGCTTTGGCTGGCAGTTTAATGATCAAATTAGACAAATCTCACGATCCGGGAGGCGAACAGTCCTTGCACAGTAATTATTAGTGACAGATGATTTAAAGTAAACATCTACCTGCATGAGCTGTTCGGACTTTTCCTTGGACGCCAAGCTGGATGGTACCACTACTCCCGTGGCCATAAGAGCTTGAAGCCACTGGGAGTCATCAGAGAGATTGTCTTAGGGGAGGAATTATATCTCCTAAGACACAGTGAGAGACACAAGCATCTCTGCTGTGCATTAAACACTGCCTCTCCCTCGACCTTTACCTGTTGTGTTCAAGGTTACCTTTTTTGACTGGTTTCCTCAAAGATCAGCTGTTTGGTTTCCTCGCTTACTTTCAGAGATAGGCATTTAAAGTAAGTGTCACTTTGGGTTTTGCTTGTGGTTTCCTTTGGCAGGTCCCCAGTTAGCTGTCTTCTGGCCCATCCTCGAGAATGCTGGCATGACTGGCAGTTCAGGTTTTGTTTCCTTAACAACGCGGTCTAACTAAGTTGGCTTCGAGCTTTGCTTTAAAGGGTTAACTGCGTCATTAACTGCGTTTTAATGTTTGCTTGTTTGTAATTTTTATTTCCGGTGCTGGGATTGATCGATGCACGGCTGTCATACAAATTTGGACTTAATTTAAAAAAATTATGTTTTGTCTGCATGCATGTAAGGGCACCATGCTTGCACAGTACCGAAGGAGGCCAGAAGAGGGCGTCGTATCTCCTGGAACCAGAGTTAACAAATAGTTGGGCGCTGTCTTGTAGGTGCTTGGGACTGAACCTGGTCCTTTGCAAGAGCAGCCAGTTGCTGTGCTCATAACTGCTGAGCCATCTCTCCAGCCATGGTGTCATACAGATTTGAATTAGTGTTGTTCGCTTTGAAGTGTTTACTTTCCCGTTTAGAAACATTATTTCTGTTAATTTATAGGCGTACTAAATTGGTTTGTCTAGTGCTGATTATAATTTTTTGAAACTTTCTTGACCGTCTAATCATTTTTTTTGTAATATTCTATGTGTGCTTTGCAAAATGTATTTTTGTGATTTATGTGTTGGCCCCTTTATGATAAATAATGTTACTTTGTTGTTCCGAATTCACTCACTATTTCCAATTATTGTTTTTTGTTTTTTCGAGACAGGGTTTCTCTGTATTGTTTTGGAGGCTGTCCTGGAACTCGCTGTGTAGACCAGGCTGGCCTTGAACTCACAGAGATCCGCCTGCCTCTGCCTCCCGCGCACTGGGATGAAAGGCATGTGCCTCCAACGCCCGGCCTGTATCCAATTCTTACCGCCCCTCTCTACCTTGCTCAGGAAGCCGACACAGATGAGAATCAGGGGACCCTGACATTTGAGGAATTCTGTGTCTTCTACAAGATGATGTCTTTGAGACGAGACCTTTATCTGCTGCTCTTGAACTACAGTGACAAGAAAGACCACCTGACCGTGGAGGAGCTGGCTCAGTTTCTCAAGGTGGAGCAAAAGGTATCTTGGGACTGGGGGGCAGGCTGCCCACTCTCGTGCTTGGGAGGTGGGGGCGTCTTTGGGGGTATTTTCCGTGTAGGTATACGTTGAATGCAGGATACCCCGGTAGATAGCCCACGCTACCAAAATCATACCAATGGGTCATTGAAACCATCCATGTAGCAGCCTCACAGGACAGTGACCAGCAAAACCTAGCATATGATAACTTTTTACTCTGTCTGTGTTGGATATGGGCATGTGTATTTTTTCTACAAAGAGATGAAAGTTAACTCATTGCATTTTAGACTCACGGGTAATATTTTCTTTACACCATGAGGCGTCGGTAACAGTATGAGTTTGAGCTTTGTATTGATTTGTGTGAGTATAACTTAATGTTAGTGAAATATAAATAGATATTTAGCTCATAGTATATAGTTCTTTTTTAAAACTATGACGTAATCCTTAGGTCACTCTGTGAACACTGATAATTCATATAGGATATTGGCATCTAATCATGTGCAAAGGTTAGTAAATTCGGCCTTGCCTGTAGTAGGAATTCCTAAACCTACTTAATGGAAAACATTAAATTTGTAATACAATACAGGCTGATTTATGTGCAGCAAGGTTAATTTCTTTATATGGCGCATCGCGAATGTTTCTGTCCTGGCTAGGTCCCGCTGCCTTTCTCTGCCCCATTTAAACACACGGATGCTTTATTAGTATAAAGCTGTTGGCCTTTTGGCTAAGGTTTCTTTATTTTTTAGAGACAGGGTTTCTCTGTGGCTTTCGAGGCTGTCCTGGAACTCACTCTGTAGACCAGGCTGGCCTCAAACTCACAGAGACCTACCTGTCTCTGCCTCCCCAGTGCTGGGATTAAAGGCATGAGCCACCAACGCCTGGCTTTGCTAAAGTTTCTTATTTGCTAGTTCAGTCTTAATTATTCACCCATTTTCTAATAATTCATGTATTTCCCCGTGGCCTTATCTTACCAGATAAAAGGTCCGGGCCTCTTACTCCGTTGGGGTCTACATCAAATCTGTTCTGCATCTTCGCAGAGAAGAGAAGAGCAATTTCCTGATTGTCCCTGCTCATATACTGATTCTGTCCTGCTATGTGACTTTCTGCCTGGATCACATGGTGACTTCTCTTGACTACATTTCCCAGAATCCTTCTAGACTCCTAGTCCCATCCATCTTGCTTCACTATTGGCCAACAGTGCTTTACTCATCAACCAATAAGACAAACATATACACTGAGAACATTCCCCATCAATATGGCTGTCTTATAATTTTTTAAACTCCATTTTTCAGTACAGTAGAGAAATAAATTGGTTTCATGTATAAATCTCAAACACAGGTGGACACTCAGATTTGTGACATTTCAGATTAATTCATTGCCATGTATGAAATCAATGTACATTTCTGAGACTATGCTAAGTTTGGGGAATGTATAAAACATACCCTAAGATCTCAAAATGAAGACACATTTCTTGGTATTTTATAGTTTTCAGAGTGTATGATCAAGTTAAAGAATGCTAAGAAGTAAAGCCACACACTTTGTTTTTATTCTGTTGAGACAAGGTTCTTGTGTGGCTGAGGGTACCTGGAACTCCGTTTGCTCAGTAATGAGAGAGTAGGCATGCAATATATCCCCAGAAAAGTAACATACTTTTTAAGGTTTTTTTCTTCTCAAGCTTATATAACTAATTATGAGTTAAAAAAATAATGCTGTGTAATGTGCATTCTTCCCACCAGTCGCCTGGGTCTCTCCACTGTCTCAGCCCCCAAATAACACACAAGACACTATAGGATATGAAGCTGTTGACCATTGCTTGGTTTCTTGTTGGCTAGCTCTGACTTAAATATTAACCCATAACTGCTAATCTGAGTATTTCCAAGTGGTCTTCTCTTACCAGAGAAATGGTCTGGACTTATTACTCCTCTTGAGTCCTACATGGTGACTGACCATGCCTCTGTTTCCCAGAATCCTCCTCGACTCCTAGTCCCACCTATCTTGCTTCCCTATTGGCCGACAGTGCTTTATCCAACAGCCAATAAGTTAAGCACACACACAGAAGGACTTCCCCCATCGATGCTGTTGTATTGTTTTCCTGAATGGTTGCTTCCTTCAAAAGTACCTTCGAGGGGCTGGAGAGATGATGACTCAGTGGTTACGAGCAGTGGCTGCTTTTCCAGAGGCCCAGAGTTTGATTCCCCGCACTCACGTTGGGTTTCCCATACCACCCGTAGCTACAGCTCCAGGGATCTGACACCAGCACTCACGTGCACATAGGCACACACATGTAAGTTTTTAAAGAAATTATGACTGAGTAATGGGGGGGTGGAGAGAATGCTTCACTGTTAAAGGAACTTACTGTTCTTACAGAGGAACTGCGTTCAGTTGCTAACACCCGTTACAGAAAACTTGAGACTGACTTATTCTAGCTCCAGAGGATCTAATACCCTCTTCTAGCCTGTCTGGGCACTTACACTCAAGTGTATATACATGGGCAGAGACACACATATACGCATAAATATTCCTTTTATTAAAAAGTTTTTTTTTTGTCGGCCGTTGGGAATGGCTCAGCTGGTTAAGTTGCTTGCTGCTAGCCCAAGTTTCATTGCCAGATGACCCAAGTATGCCAGAAACCCAAATGATGGAAGGAGAGAACTTTACTCCCACAAGTGGTCCTCTCTGGGGGCTACCACCTGTGCGGCATGGTCTGCAACGGGTTTTCTCTATCTCGATAATAGATTTCTCCGCTGATGCGGCAAAGCCAGATCAAACCAAATTGAAAAAGCAAAAGAACAGGTAGATTTGAGCACGGCAACTCCCAGGTGAGTTTTTCGGGTCCTAGAGATTGAAGCAGGAGAAGTCATGCACCCAGCTAAGGCAGGGTGCTTACGTAGCCTGTTGGCTAGGGGTGATGATGTGTCTCGAGTATGGTCAAAATCTGAGCCCCTTAGGTGGGGTGGGGACTCAAGCAGCTGGCCAACTTCAGGGGAGGAGCTGCCGCAGCTGCCAAGAGCTCGGAACTGGGCTTTAAGGCACCTTCTCCTTCTTGGAGGTTTGTAAAGAGAGTCTTTTTCCTTGAGAGAAGCCTTCCCACCAGCCTGGTTCTGGAGCCACATCAGTCCCAAATAAACACACAGGAGGCTATATTCATTATGAAGCTGTTGTCCTTGCTTGTTTCTTACTGGCTAGCTCTGACTAAAGTAATTACCCCATAATTGTTAATCTAAGTATGTCTCTTACCGGAGAAGTTTCCGGGCTTCCTACCCCATGGCGTTACATCTCGACTCTCTGTGTTCCTCCTTCCCAGAGTTCTCCTGGACTCCTAGTCCCACCTATCTAGATTCCCTATTGGCCAGACAGTGCTTTATTGACAAATGCACAGGACTTCCCCAACAGAGGTTCTCTGAGAGGGCGGGGCTTTGAGGAGAGGAACGGGGCTTACCTGGCCGAGCTCTCGAGAGGTGGAGGTCCCAGAAGAGCAGTCTGCAAGTGTCCATCTGTCTGAGTTGGGGTTACTATTGCTGTGATGAGGCAACGTGGCCAAAAAGCAACTTGGGGAGGGAGTGTTTTTTTTTTCACTCATGTTTCTTTATAGAAGTTCACCATTATTGAAAGCAATGAGGCAGACACTCCCGCAGGACAATTACCTGGAGGCAGGAGCTGATGCAGAGGCCACAGAGGAGTGCTGCTTACTGGCTTGCTCTTCATGCTTTTCCTCCTCATGCTTTCTTATAGCACCCAGGACCACCATCCTAGGGGTGTCCCTACTCACTGTAGGCTGGGATCTCCCTCATCAGTCACTGATTAAGAAAAATACCCTACAGAATTGCCCGCCTACAGCTGGATCTTTGGAGGCTTCTTCTCGGTTGAGGTCCCCCCATCTCAGATGGCTTTAGCTTATCCTACAGGTGGCATAAAACTAGCCAGCACACTAAACACATGAAATAAATACATGAATAAATGTAAGAAAAAATGCCTCTGTTAAGACGCCAATGCACTGTTAATATACATCCAACCCTTCTCTTAGTTTTGGTACTAATTTGAATTAAATTGAATTAAGATTTCATTACTCTCAGTGTGGTGTGTGCACAGTGTGTGTATGGATAGACACATATGCCACTGTGTGCATGTGGGAGCCAGAGGAAAACATTTGGGAGGTTGTTCTCCTGTTTCATCTTTACCTGGGTCCCAACACTTGACCTCTGGTCAGTTGACCGGTTTGTATGGCAAGCATCTTTACCCATAGAAGCCATTGTGATGTACCCTAAATTAAAATTTTGAAGTTGGCTCCTGAAAAACACTGTTTTCAGTTGTCTGTGGGAGGGAGGGAGGGGTTATGCATCTGAGGTGAACTTGTTCCAGTGTTCCAAATATTTTTTTGGGGGGGTTCAAGACAGGGTTTCTCTGTGTGGCTTTGGAGAGTGCTCTGGCACTCTCTCTGTAGACGAGGCTGGCTTCGAACTCACAGAGATCCGCCTGCCTCTGCCTCTTGAGTGCTGGGACTAAAGGCGAGTGCCACCAACGCCCAGTCTCAGTGTTCCAAATATTGAACCTTCCATTAATTTTCTCCTGTTTAAGCCAAAAAAAAATTACCACATTAACTTGGCATAGCCCCAGATTTGTTCGATGTTCTTAACCTGAGTCGGCTAGTGCTGCTTACAGGCTCAGGGGTGGCAGAAAGTCTCGCTGATTCAGATGTCCTCTGACTGAGCTGGACTGGTGTTGTTTAGGACAGCTAAGTGCAATCTTTGAATCACATTTTATGGGTAGATGAATTGGATAATTGGTTTTAGAGAGAACGAGGAGGAAGTAGCAAAAATTTGGCAAATGCTGTCCACGCATGCGTTTTCTCTGTATAATTTCCTCACCACTGAGCCTCGGCGTCAACGGTTTTCATTATAATGCTGTATAAAAGATTGTTTCCAGTTTGTAAAGAATAAAGCAGCAAGAAAATCTTTACTTTTGTGCTAATGCGGACTTACAGAATGTCGTCTTAGCATTTATTT